TGGAGGACCTGCCTGAGAGGGTAATTAGTCATTACATGGATCGTATGGGCATGAAAGTAAGGTCGCAACTTTCTGAAAGCGATCAGCAGAGCATAGGCTAATCGTTCCATTTCAGGATACCACATCTCGGCATCCGACAGGCGCTTGCTCGCGTAGTAGACTGGCCATTGAACTTTTTCCTCTTCTCAAACTAGGGCTGCACTGACCGCAGACTGCGAGACGGACAGGTATAGGGGCAAAATCTCTTGCGGAAGGGGCTTAGAGAGGAGAGGTGGCTTCTCGAGGTGTTCTTTTATACTCTGGAACGCCTGTTCGCATTCGGGAGTCCATTCGAATTTCTTATTGGCCTTCAGAACATTGAAAAACGGCAAGTAGCGATCTGTTAGCCTCGATATGAAGCGACTAAGTGCTGCTATTCGCCCATTTAGACTTATGACCTGTTTTTTGCTGGTCTGGCTCTCCATATCGAGCAGAGCTTGAATCTTCTCGGGGTTTATTTCTATCTCTCGTTGATTAACCATGTACCCTAGGAACTTTCCTGACGATACTCCGAATGAACACTTGAAGGATTCAGCTTCATTTTGTACAGCCGGAGGATGTCAAACATCTCAGCGAGATGTGCAATGTGCTCTGAGGCGACCTGGGATTTGATCAGCATGTCGTCCACATAGACCTCCATTGTTCTTCCGATCTGGTCGGAGAACATTCGGTTAACCAGCCGCTGGTAGGTTGCGCCAGCATTCTTGAGGCCGAAAGGCATAACTTTATAACAATATAGCCCCCGGTCTGTAATAAAGGACGTATGCTCCTCGTATGGGCCATACATAGGGATCTGATTGTATCCCGAGTATGCATCCATGAAACTTAGCAGTTCGTGCCCCAAGGTGGCATCCACGAGCTGGTCGATTCTTGGTAGGCCTTATTGAGGTCACTAAAATCAACGCAGGTCCGCCACTTTCCGTTTGGTTTCTTTACCCGGACCGGGTTGGCAACCCACGTCGCATAGAGTGCCTCTCGGATGGACCCGTTTCGGAGGAGGTTTTCCACTTCTGATTTAATGCAGCATACCACTCCGGATCCATTTCTCTTCTTTTTTGGCGAACTGGCTTGGCCTCGCTGTCGACGTTTAACGCATGGCAAATAACGTCCGGGCTGATCCCGACCATATTTGCATGCGACCAGGCAAACACATCGACGTTTTCCCTGGGAAAACCTGTCAGTTTGCTAGCGAGCTAGGGGTTGAGATTTTTATTGACTCTTAACACCCTGCTTGAGTCTTTCAGGTCGACCAGCACTTCAGTCAGGTCCTCAACTGGCCCACTGGAGGGGCAGTCTTAAATGCGAGGGTCTAGGTTGTCCTCGGCCGGGCCAGGTCGTGGATCGATCCTGCTGATCACCATGGCCTGGCGGGGTGCACTTCGCGAAACGCCCTTTCCTTTGTGCGCCATCTGGATTGCTTTTACATAGCAGTCACGCGATGCGCGCTAAGACCCGTTGACTTCCCGATCCCTATCGGGGTGGGAAACTTCATCTTCAGATGATAAATTGAAGTGACCGCCTTAAACTGTCTTAGTAGAGGTCGCCCAAGGATCCCATTGAAGGCTGACAGGCAGTCTACCACTAAGAATTCAGTTACCTTGGTCACTTCGTCAAGATCGCCCAGCGTGACTGGGAGTGAGATTGTTCCCTTGGGGAGTAGATGGTCTCTTATGAATCCGTATAGCGGGAATGAGGCAGGCTTCAGGTCGGCCTCGCCCAGGTTCATCCTTTCGAAAGTGGATGCGAACAGGATGTTCACAGCACTTCCGTTATCCACTAACATTCTCTGGGTGTTATAGCGCCCTATCAAGGGAGTGATTACAAGGGCGTCGTCGTGGGGATGGTGCAACCTGGCCGCATCCTACTCGAAGAAGGAGATTTCCACCTCCTTACGAACCTTTTGTGGTCGCCTATCCGCACTCATCACTCTAATGGGGTCGTGATGTGCTTTACGAGCATACATTTCTTGGGCACCTCGCGAATTTCCAGCGAAGTGCGGTCCTCCGAAAATCAAGTTGAGATTGAGCACCCCTTTCTGATCGCGACGCTTCTTACTTGGCTCCCCCCGATCTTTCTCTTTCGAGGGAGCAAAGTCATCGATGTATTCCTTGAAGTGCCCCTTCTTGATAAGTTCTTCGATTGCTTGCTTCATGGCTCGGCACTCGTCAGTATGGTGTCCATTGTCCCGATGATAGCGACAGTACTTTTTATTATTTCTGGCTGTCGCAGGGGTTTTCATGGGTTCGGGTTTTCCGAGCAGACTGGCTTCTTCGGATTTATCAAGAATGGCAGATACAGAGGCGTTCAGTGGAGTATATTGGGGCCTGTCGCGGTCGCGACGAGGAACGGGAGCATGGGACTTTTTGTGCTCGTAGTGGGGTTTCTTCCCTTTTCGCTGATCGTCAATGTCTCCTTTGTGATCAGCTCTCCTACTTTCTCCCCGACCAAACATACTGCCCGAAGTGCCGTGATCGCGCCGACGTAGTGCCGCCAATGAATTTTCTATACGGAGATACTTTTCCGCGAGGTTATAGAATCTGGTGAGGGAAACATCGTCCTCAGCCTATAATTCTGTCCACAGGTTAGTTTGCGGGCGAACTCCAGCTATTATGAGTGTTCAGATTGACTCTTCGGGGGCGTGAGCCACCTTGTTGAGTTCCCTGCGGAAACGGTCGATATAAGATTATAGGGATTCGTCCCTTTCTTGCCTTATGTTGCTGAGATAGCTCAGAGGCATCGAAAACTTTTGATTTGCTTAGAAATGCTGTAGGAACGTCGTGCTCATCTGAGGCCATGAACTGATCGATCCCGACGGGAGCGACCTTAACCATCGTTTAGCATGAGAAGTTAGAGTCACAGCCAAACAGCGGCATTTTGCAAGATCCGAAACCTGGTGGAGCTCCATCAGGTCGTTGAACTCATACAAATGATCCTGCGGGTCATGGTTCCCATCAAACGGCCGCATGTCGGGCATTCTGAACCCTGGCGGGGGTGGAGCAGCTAACACTTTGGGAGAGAAGGGGGATGCAGTGGCGACCTGGGCCTGCTCGTTTTGCTGCTCTCTCAGCCTGTCGAGAGCTCGCTGCAGCTCCTCAATTTGTGGTAACGGAGCCAGTTGGGGATTGCTTTCACCCATGAGAGTCCGGCCCTCGCGATTACGGTTCAGGAGAGTCCGGAGGTCGGACTCCTTTTCACCTCGAGTGGCACTTCCAGCCGCTCTTGACACACGTTGGCTGGAGGCGTGTGACGGCGATGGATGGTGCGGGGTATTTTCACGACCCTCGCGGTGGTACGAACCGCCCCGCGAGGTGTAGGGACCACCCGCATGATAGCGATCAGGATCGTTCTGCTGGGGGTGATAAGAATCGCCCCGCCCAGCACTTTTGCTTGGGTTCACCTGCGACGTGGCATGGGATAGCTCGGGATTTACCTTTTCGTCGAGTCTCAGCTTTGCCGGCACCCTGCTTGGGGCACGGTTTATGTTCGCTGGCCCTTTGGAGCCCGTAGGCTTGCTTTTTGCCACTTGCTTACCTTTAAGTCTACGCGCTGCAGTACTCGCGGCACGGGTTATTTCCCTTTGCCGCGCTTTCGCGCGACCTGCAGGCATTTTTGGCGGTTGCACCGCCCCAACTGTTCTAGATGGCACGCCTTGGTCCAGATGGTCCAGCCTTTGGTTGACCGTCTGGAGAGTATTGTCGAACCTCTTCAGGTAGCTTCTGATGGTGCGGTCAAGCTGCGAATCTGTTGGGATATCCACCGCAACAATTTGTGGGGCTGGAAGTATTCTGGAAGAGGTATCCCCTTAGGTCAGGGGAACTCCCTTAGCGCGCTGGTTGGCTTGCTCAGGTTCAGATTGGCGGGCCATTTGTTGCTGTAAGACCAGTAGGTTAGAGATTCTCTTGATGAAGGATGAACACTAAATCTGGCCCCTCCTTCTAGCGCCAAACTGTTGATGCGTGATTTTTGACACCAACTAATCGACACGTGCATAACGTTGATTGGTCAAGAGACACACGTGATTATGGATGAAATGTAGAGTAAATGCAATGAGAGCTTTTTAAAGTGGTTCGGATGCTAAGGTAGCAAGTCCTACGTCCACTGATTTGTATTAGTATTGTGGGTCAGGTCGTAACAGCGGACTGACTTACAAATGATTAGGGAAATATAAATACAAAGGTACAAGAGAGAAAGAGAGAAAGCTAGTTCAGAATGTAAAATGGCCGAATCCCCTTAATGAATGGGTCTTCCTCTTTTTATAGTGAGATGAGTGCAAGTAATCATCATTAAATCCATGGGTTGGTGTGAATGTCAGGACAAAATCCGACTTCACGTCACATTATCCACCTTCCAAGCTGATTTCACGCGATTTGGAGCAGGGAAATGGACACGTGGGAGCTCCATAGCGTCTGGCAGGCTTGACGTGTGCTTACCGTTCTGACGGGAGCAGGTCACACCCCATCACGTGATTTCTCACGTCAGCCCTTGATTTCCCAGGCATAACAGTTAATAACAATAAGTCCTCTTAAATAGTAAAAATTTCATATAGTTACAGTAATAATAAAAATCTATTGTCTGTTAAGTTTTAGTGTTAAAATAAATCATATAGGATAATTAAATAAAATATTTATTAACTGGTCATATTATAATTTCCAACAAATTTATGACATACTTTTTTTTTTTAAAATCTGTGGTTATTTGATCACATGACGTGGGAGGTAAATGAAACGCGTGAGAAGAAAGCAAGTATGGAAGGAAAAGATAAAGAAAAACAAAAGAGCAATTTGAGTGGGACCCAAGTGCCCATGGGATGGCTGAGTGTGAGTGGGGACAACAACATGACCGTGACCTTCCTCTCGATATTATTATTACTTGTTTTGAAATCTCTTGTCCCTTCCCTCTCACTCTTCCATTTTCACTTCCATTTTTCTTCTGCAAACAACCTCAAAACTATCACTCACAATCATTCATATTATAAATAATAATAGCAAGGCTATTATTGTTGTTTTTCTTTTCTTTTCTTCCACCATGATAATGTATCTCACTTGCCTCTCATTAAAATACTTCTTCAACTTCAAGATCTCTCATTCTTTTTCCTCCTTTTTAATCTCTCTATAATGCTTTCCATCACATTCCAACATCGGGGTTGAGTAATGTATATGATTTCATCCCTTCTATTCTTCTCTCCCAACTTTCCCACTTTCCGCATTGCTCAACATCAAGCTTGCTCCAGTTTTCGCCATGAAATTAGGTCACTTTTTTACTTAAAACCTCATAACTTTTTCATTTTTAATCCCCATAAATAGCTATATTAGCTTGTTATATTTTTCTTGTTTAATGAGTTATTATTATTTTTGACATTTTTGTATTTAGAATTTAGAACAGGTGTTCGAGTAATTTTTTTTTTTATTGATATATTCTTAAACTTTTATTATTAATCCCTTTATTTGATAATTCCACTTCTGTACATGTTATAATGTATGGATTTATGTGTCATGTATGCATGCATGCATTTGCTTCTGTAATTTAATGGTAATTGGAGTTTTGGTTGTTAGTTTTAGGTTTTGAATGATGAGTGGTTGAGCTGGTTCAACGTGCATTGTCCATAATCATATCTGGCTTTAACAGGACAAGTCACACAGTAAGATTTTCAATAGCATATTCTGTAGGTAGAATATCCAGCTTCATATGTATACTAGCTATTAGACAATGGTATGATTATCAATAATGACACTGTTTATTGAACTGATTCTGATTTTGAAGTACTAAACTGGGTTGGAATCTATATTCGAACCAGGGCTCTCTGTTCCTAGTTTCTCTAATTGAACCAATGGCCTCAGCGATCCTTATTAACACTCTACCTTTGAAATGTGTTATGCCCGCAATGTTAAGTAGCTCTTGATCAATCCATTTCAAGGTTGGTTCAGAAAGAGGATGATCTTTTATTCCTTGATGCTGTAAAACCATCAAATAATTGTTGATTAATTCACTTAGGATCCATCTTGTAAATGAATATTCAGTTGAACTGAATTTGAATTCTATCTTACAAACATCGATTAGACTATTTCTATTTGTAATTCTATGGTTCTCCATCACAGAGAAATTTGGTCCCTTATTCCCATTCTTAACAAGCCTCAAGCTTGTTATTGTAGCAATACAAAGTGCTTGCTAGTTAGTTTACATGTTTACATATTCTATGGTCACCACTGATCTTAATCTCTGTTTCTTGAGGATCACTGAGATAATATGTATCCTGATGCTCCTTATGATACAAAATTTTGTGTTAACTGTTTACATGGATGAAATGAGGCAAAATCAACTTCATTGTGGTGAGTCATATAGGAAGACATATGGCCTTTAAGGAAGGTTTGTTATGTGGCATACTTGGGTTGGGCCATGTTGGGGATACTAGGGGTATGTGAACATGATCATTGTGTAAAAATCCTAGATTTCTAGTGTAAAAGTTTCTCAACTAGTATATTCAACTTGGGATCCCCAAGTAGGGCTTTTGGGTAGAAAAGCTTAAAACAAAACTGTAAAGGTTGTGAGCCCAAAGTGAACAATATTTTACTTGATGGATTCGGGTTGTTACAATTATATGGGAGCCAGGTTCACAACCTCATTAGGGGTGTGCTTCACATGATGGCATTTGACCCTTATTCATGAGCAGTGTTTGATCAAGACCATGTTGGGTTACACAAATATCACACATCAAGTATGAGCTTCTATACAACACTTAGATTTCCCTTGATAAGTAAGAGGTCGTTTGGTTAGAAAAGCCATAAAAAAAAAAGTGAGAAAATTGTCACTGGGATACATTGGGCCTTTTGAAATCCTTAAAAGTGTTAGAACTATGATATACTGGTTAGTTCTTCTCCCACTACTTACAAGGGTTGATAATGCATTTAATGTGTTGATGCTTTGCAAATATGAGCCAGACCCAAGCCGTGTTTTATATTGGGAGGTTTTGATCTCACAAAAGAGGTGGCTTACAACAAGGGTCTTGTATAGGTCTTACATTTGTGGCAAGACTATTTAACTAAAAAGTTGCCTGCTTTATGGCTTAACTCTATTAAGGAGTTCTTAAAGCATATCAATAGTCATGAACTCATGAAACCTAGAGTATTTCGGCAGTGGTTTATCATAGTTGAAGCCTATGTGGGAATGATAAAAGATGCATAAAACAAAAATTCATAATGGTATTGGATCGCTTTGAGACACATCAGGTTGTGTCCCCTTTTATACATTGGTTTTCTTGAGTTACAGTGTTTCTAAATTGATATAAAATGTGCCCTTTTCAGCTGATTCTTAAATTTCATTTCTGCCTTAGTATCCTTATAAATCTTGCTTGCAAATATATGTAAATAAAATTTATGATTAATAATATGACATGACAGGTTCTCAAGAAAATGATTTGGCTTCATCTCCAGGGAAAAGTGTAAATGGAAGTTTCAGGAAATTTAGATCTGGTGCGTATTCCCTTGACATCAAATTCTTAGTGCCTTCTAGGTGACATCTTTTTATTTTCTGCTCTATATATTGTGGGTGATTGTGAAGTTAATAGGAGCTTTTTCAGATTTTACCTACATTTTTGCTCTATGTTGTATGTAGAATGTTTCTACTATTATGCTGTTGTTAAGAGTAAGTTTTATTTTCAGACCATTTCTTATAAGCATTTACTGGTGTCTCACAGTGGTGTTAGTGTTGAATTGATCAATGGGTTCTACAATTCTTATAAGCTACTAAGCATATAGGAAATGATTCAGTTATAGTTTTTAAACTCAAACAGTATTCAACAATAGTGTTTAAGCTCTAACATGCATCCTCAAGTGCGAGTCTGAATTTCAAGTAATGGACAAGTCACATATCCAAACACAGAAACTTGGATCTATGTGTACAATAATCCTCAAAGCTTAAGTTGATGTATAATAAAATATTTGAAATTATTTTGGTCGGAGGGTTTCCTTTTTGTAAAAAGTGTATGTATGGTTTCAGTATTATGTATATCAATTTTGTGTAGCTTTCGGTACCTTGATCAGAGTTTTATACTGTTTGAGTAGGTATGTGGTCCACATATGAGGCTCTAAGCTCCGTTGGGCTGCTCCTTCTCTTATGTTTCTATCCCTTGAGAAAAAAGTCGAGCTTTTAGGGGTAATAGAAAAGCTACAATATATGGGATTGTGCTGTTTTGACTATTTTTGGTTATTTGGGTAGAAAGAAATTACAGAATTTTATAAAACAATAAATGGGATGAGACTGGATTCGTATGGGACAGCTAAGTTTTGAGCTTTTCTTTGGTCTTTTGTGTCATCTAAATTTCGATATGTGTCTTTTTCTTAATTATTAACAATTGGGAGGCTGCAGTAATGTGATTAAAGGAGTTTAGTTTTAGGGTTTTTGTGGATTTCAAGACCTTTTATTATTTCCTGTATCTTTTGTTAGTTTTTATTTTTGGGTTGTCTTGTCTCACAGATATATAGATGTACTGTTTAGAGCTTTTTCACCTTGTAAAGTTTTTTCAACTTATTTAAGTTTTCTTGAGTTTCTTGAAAATGTGGTCCACAAGGTATTATAATTTCATAGTTTCCTATAAAAGGAAAAAGGAGAAAGAAATTATTTTATGAATTATTTTTCTCTAATCTCATTAAAAACTTCAAGAAGATTGATAGATATTGAAATTGGTAAGATGAAAATTTATAAATAAAAATATCTCTAATGGTGTGTATTCTGAAGCTTACTTGAAAAATATGGTTTGAGATAAACATATGTGCTAAATGGTGCTTAGACCAATTATGAAAAGTTAATATGCTAGCATGGTGTTATCGATTATAAAGGGTCATTATTACAAGGTGCTGTTCCTGCCTGGAGTTATCTGTTTCTTAGTTGCAGAAATATTATCCACTGCTGATACTTGAAAAGGAGCTTTCAAGATCTTGTTACTATAGAAAATCACTTGAGCCTATACAATTTCTATGCATGGAGCTAGACCAGTCAGCTATTATGCTTTCTTCAATATGGCCACTTTCGAAGTCACCTTCTGGTTATAATTGCTTAATAACTTCCTTATCTGCCAAATTATTGCTTAGGGACCACAGCATGACATCCTCTTGACTTTTGATCTTAGCATACGAAAAGTTTGTACAAACCATGTTAATGTTAAAAAGTTAGTGCTTGTTATTGGAGTTACCCTGGGGTTGGTAGGTCTTACATTCAAATGTTTCGAGAAAATAACAAGCAATTTCTAAGAAAAAGATAGTTATTCCAGATTAACTGTTATTTCTCACTGTTCTTCCATCTTGTTGCATAGAAATGCGTTTTTTTTTTTTCTGATTGAGTTTTCTGTTGGTATGGTTCAGGTTTTCTGCGAAGTGATTTTGACTCATCACCAGGGCAAAGTTTGGATGGAAGTTTCAGAAAGCCTAATTCTGGTTTGTAATGAGGCTTATCTTCTTTTATGTTTTATTTTTATCCTATGGTGCTGGGAGTTAACCGTTCTTGAGTGATTGTTCCTAAGTTAATAAACTCATAACTTGTTTGAAATAAATGTCAGTAATCTCTCTATGCTTTATTTTAGAAAATATAACTTAGTATTTGATGTAAGATAAATTGAAGGAAAGGAGTAATAAAGATAAGAAATAAAAGCCGAGAGAAAAGGGGAGAAATTAGAGAGAAATTATTGAATAGACAGATTTTAGAGTAAAAGAGATAAGAACTAAGGAGAAAAGAAGTTCATAAATTTAGAGGGAGAAGGAGGAGGATATAAAAATGAAAGAGATACCCAAAAATCAGTTTTATTGATTCAAGGTCACTTCTTCCAAAATCTAAAGTACATCAAATCTAATTTTAGTGGCTACAAATAAATTGAGGATAAGTCTTCTTGTAGAAAAAGTTGTTTCCTTGGTTTTCTATAGCTTGTAATCTGAAAACAGTTTTCGAATATTATATCACATACATTCTCAATTATTAAAAATATTTATAGTACAACTCAAATGTTTAAATTGGATTTTAGTTTTTGAATATTGTTTTCAGATCACAAATCAAGTGGGACTTATTATCCTATAAATATATTTATATTTATTAAAGGATAAGCTTCTTGGTTCTGCATCAGATTTGGGTGCAGAAAAATTTAGATGTGATGAGTATACATTTTCTTTGAAGTGAGACCACGAGAAAAAAGGGTTCTTTAAGAAATGAGTCAATGCTTCCATTGTTGAAACAAGTGCAAATATTTAGATTTTAGATTTCCTAAGAACTGACTTGGTGAAATTCCATATTTCATATATACAAAAAAAGGATTACCTGATAGGTTTCGAATTGTTCTCACCTTGGTTCTTTATACATTTCTTTGCAAGCAACATATGTGTATTGGACTCAAATATAAATATCGAGTCCTCACCTACTAGCTTAAGCTTTTAGGTGGAATGACAACTTAATATGGTATTAGAGCTAAAAGTCGAAAGTTTGAAACCTCACATTTCTAATGGATAATAAATAAATCCAAGTTTCATCTGAACTCAAATATTAAGTTTAGGCCCTCACGGGCTTAAGCTTTCACTTACTAGTTTAAGCTTTTAGATAGAATGATAACTTAGTAATGTGAATCACTTAAATTAAGGCAAAAGTAATTTTGATTTTTGTTTTTAGTTCATAAATGAGTCATTTTGGTCCTTGGAAGGATTTTAATTTGGTTACAGGGATTTATAGTCCCATTATGCTTTTGTATTGATTTTCATAGTATTTTGGAACTTCAAATGGTGAGCTTGCAATCTGCCAATTGATGATCAATATTAGAAGCTTTTGTTGGAAATTCAAGGCCTTTCTAGCCAGTAATACTTTATTTGTTCGTTGGTTGCCATATATATAAGGTTCAAAGCAAAGATCGGTACTTGATAAGCATACTGTATTGCAGAGAAAAGGAAAAGAATATGAAGAAATGAAAGGAAAGAAGAAAACTCCAGAACTTCGTTTGATCAAATAATAAAAAAGAAGTGAATCAATGGTAGCTAAGGGAAACTGTCACTGCAAAGAGTGGTATTAGAAACACAAACTTAGGCATTGTAACATGAAGCTAAATATGCTTAGTCACTTGATTTCTTTCATGCTTCCTTCAAATGTAGTGGCTGCCTTCAAACCTTTATTAGATTTGAACTTTTAACTCCAATTAGTAGCCAACACTTTTTCAGTATCCTTGGGATAACCCTTGAAAATCCATACAGAGTGGATAGCAGAGCCTAAAATGTTACAGCGATATACATCTCCACTGACCCCACCAAGTTTAGGTAAAAAAAATAGTATACATAGGTCTTCAAATACTTTTATCTACTTCAGCTTCAGTAGTTATTGTTTTTTACATCATGGCTCTTCCAAATGCCAGTTTTTTGGATCCATGCCTACAGAGTAGCATAGCCAGGAATAATCCACTCAATAGCACATTTACACATAAAATACCAATCAAGAAATTATGTATTTGCTTTCTTGTCTAGTGCGTTTCTCCACTCTGATCAAGGTGTGGCTGTCCAAGCTAAAAAAGGAAAAGAAGTGTAAAAAAATATAGCCTTAAAAGAAACTTCGGCATGCCACTCTTCTAAAAAGACTTGTCAATTGACTTTTCCGCAATTCTTAACTGTAACATGTTGCCTGAAACGCTGGGTCTTAGTTAACTTCCATTCATTTCAATACCTCTTATCACCTTGCTCTTTAGTTTCATAAACTTTTTCAAGAATGCATCCAAGGACTTAAACCTCTCGACTTTGCACTGTCCTAAAAGACGCTGCTTGACTAGGATGCCAGCCCTGGTATATACTTAGTCTTTAATGTTCACTATTAAGTTCAGCTGTCTCAATCCGCTGGCCATTGATTATCAATAAATTAGGTAAGACTGAATGGGCAATCATTAGAGACTAATTTAGTCCATTGTATGTATAGTTTTTCACCGTCCTTTCCACCACCCTTTCATTCTACTGGTTCCAAAACTACTCCAGCTGTAAAATATAGCTCATGAGGTAGGAGGTTTTTAATTATTTATCTTTTTAGTTTTTAAATTATGTTTTCTTAATACTTTAGTTTCGTCACTTAGAACAATATATAGCCACTGTCCACATACAATCTTTAGCCTATTAATTTTACTGCCTTAGCTCACACAACCTAAATCTTAGGAACAGGATTCATCTCAAATCCTGGATACCAGATTTTACATTCCACCTTAGAAAATATGACTTACTGTTACAGAGAAAATGTAAAGAATAAAACTAATATATGTTTGCAGATTGGATTTACCCCATATTTCTTGATTACAGTGCTTATTTTCTAGTAAGTGTCATTTTGTTCAAGTTGAAAATGGCACAGAGAAATAATTAGAATATCAATGTGTGTGATCTAATAGAAAGTTATTTAATTTGATAGAGTACAATGCTAAAACATTGTAAATGTAGCTTATACAATTCAGAATGAAAGAAGTTGAACTTTGTTTATCTTGAGGTAAATATAATCCCAATCTAGTCCACACCAGTGTATGCTTTGCAATTTTTTAAGAAGTGAGTTCTTATGTAGTTTTATCCTGTAACTTTATTTTGGCTTTCATTTGTAATATACGGGGTAATACAATCTAACTTATAATACTTTAATTATCTTTTTCTAATAATTCCTTTGGCCTATTTTATCATCAGTGAAGTTTCCATGTCTGCAATCTGTCTTTTTTCTATATTATGCTTTGCTTTATTTTGACTTAACATATATTATAACTGTTAGTGCTGAATGTATGCGGTGCTATGAATGCAGTTATATCTGCCCACAGTATATCTGGTGTTTCAGCTTCAAGCAATTTCAATCCCATTTCTAGAAGAGTATACAAGGGGTTAAAGGATTATAGGAAGAAACTTGTTGACCGAGAACTATTCACTCAAAGTCTTGAAGATTGGATTATTAAAAAATCTCTTGAAGATGAAGCTACTGGGGAACAGTCTTTCCAGTCTCCTTTTCTCATGGATGAATTGCGCAATCTTGATTTAGCATTAGAAGGGGTTTTATTTCAGCAGCTGTGTCGTATGCCATGCTCAGCATATGCTTCTGATTATTTTGAAGAAGAGGAGTTTCTTGCACTAGAAGATTTCCTCCATGCTATTCTAAATGGCCTCTGGCGTACATTTTGGCGTAAAAGTGGACCATTGCCGTTCTTTTTATCTTGTCCTCGCCATCCTGGATCCAGGTTTTATTCTGTAGAGAAGGCAATATCTCAAGGAAAGCTTGATGAGCTCTGTGGATTAGCTTTGATAGCTAAAACTGAGAATGATTTGCAAGTCCGTTGGGATCAAGTGGTACAGTTTACCTTATTTAGATCAGACATATTGTCAGAAAATGAGTTGAAGTTGTCTACTAGCAGCATTTGTGAAGCTCTATTTTATGGTATTCATGTACTTCTTGCTAGAAGTTTGAGCAAGTTCTGTAACATTGACAACGATTCTGTTTTTGTTTTGGTTCTTGATTCCAAATTCGGTGGAGTGGTAAAACTTAGTGGTGATATTGGTAAACTTGAATTCAACTCAGCTAACCCATATCAATCTGTGGTTGAGTGGATCAAATGCCATGCTGAAATCAGTATTTCTGCAGTTGACCAGATATGGAACAAGCTGGGAAATGCAAGTTGGGGGGACCTTGGAACTCTGCAGATAATTCTGGCAACTTTCTATTCCATAGTCCAGTGGAATGGACCACCAAGGAAGTCAATAGCCTCATTGGCCTCAGATCATTGCCTTCGCCTTCAGAAACGTAGGTTAGAGTGCCGTCTAATGGAGAATGAAAATGCACTGGTACCTTCCCAATATACAAGCCATCAACAAGGAGAGATTGTTGAAGTTGATCAGTGTGATACTCCAACATTCAGAAAGGAAGCATCACGCTTAAAGCTCAAGGAGGGTGAAATATTGGTACTGGAGGATCAACGACAGGGGCAAAGAAATTTTCAAATACAGGATTCTTTGGAAGGAGGGAACTATTTCCTCTACAGTGCTGTTGCTCTAGAAAATCCCGTGGAGCTGTTGACTTTGTATGTGGGTGCTCATCCATCCAGGCTGGAGCCGTCTTGGGAGGATATGAGTCTGTGGTACCAAGTACAGAGGCAAACCAAAGTATTAAACATCTTGAAGCAACAAGGGATCTCAAGTAAATATTTGCCAGAAATCATTTCTTCTGGTCGAATTTTGCATTCTGGTCCCTGTAAAAAACAGAGCCCAGGGGGACGCTGTGATCATTCATGGTGTGGAACCCCAATACTTGTGACATCTCCAGTTGGGGAGCCACTTTCACTAGTAGTTGCTCATAATGGCTTGTTGTCATCAGAAGAGGCAATACGCTGCTGCCGAGACTGCCTAGTTGCTCTAAGAAGTGCAGCCTTGGCCAACGTTCAGCATGGTGATATTTGTCCTGAAAACATAATACGTGTTGTTGACTCACAGGCCATGAGAAACAAATTTCTATATGTCCCAATATCATGGGGACGTGCAGTAATTGAAGACAGGGACAGCCCAGTAATAAATTTACAGTTCTCATCATCTAATGCACTTCAGCATGGGAAGCTTTGTCCATCATCCGATGCTGAGAGCCTCATTTACCTCTTATTTTTTGTTTGTGGAGGAACTATGGAGCAACAAGACTCAATCGAATCTGCATTGCAATGGAGGGAGAGAAGTTGGGCAAACCGGTCAATTCAGCAGCATCTAGGCGAGGTTTCAGCCCTCTTAAAGGCATTTGCTGATTATGTGGATAGTCTGTGTGGAACCCCATATCCAGTCGACTATGATATTTGGTTAAAAAGACTAAATAGAGCTGTGGATGGCACAGCAGATAGAGGTAAAATGATTGAAGAAGTAGCCATAACTTCCAGACTAGAGGATGTTGCTGAGTCTTCAGGAACCTCAGCAGGTGGTACTTAAATTAGTTTTCATAGTAAAAGAGAGCTGAGTTTTGTTGGGGTTTGGTTTTGTACCAGTTTTTGAGTGAAATTGGCATAGTGTTGGTTCAATAGGATCTCAACACAAGTTGTCAATCTCAACAATGTGAATCTTTTATCAAGTTGAGGCTTCATAGCAAGATGAAGAAATTGTGTAGTCATTGTTGGATTGGATTCAATGTAAATGTATCATGATTGTAATTGTTCTTCATTATTAATTGATTAATTGGATTTCCCTCTAATTCAACTGAGCTATTTGCTTGTTTTTCATGGTGCAAAAAAAACCCTATCAGATGTGCAAAAGCATTTTAACCTAGCCAGAAACAAAAAAAGCTTAAGTATTAATTGAATTTTCTTTAAAAGATTACTAACAAACAAATTATTTTAATAATAATGAAAAATTATTACAACCTTCTCAAACAGTAGGTATGACCAAACTTTAAAAATGCAAGGTAGTGACCAAACTTTACTTTGTGGATTGTATTATTGTATTATTGTATGGGGATGGTAATGTGGATAGGGCGTTATCATCCAGAAATTCCATGTGGAGTTTAAAGACGGGTTCATCTTGGTCCAAAACTCCTTCAACAATGTCATGAACAACATCGTTTTGTTCTAGACCAAGAAGATGGCAGGCAGCATCATGGCAGTAAAAGTCACCATCTGACACGTCCTCCTAAATTAACAATTAAACTAATTTTTTTTTGTAATTTAAATCTAATAAATCCAGGGCTGGATACAAGCCTGGGGTTTGGGCTCTCCCCCAGACCCTAAGATGTTGGGTAAAATGGTTATTTTGCCATCATCATCCATAAATTTTGTAGTTAAATATACTTATAAATTTTGCGAGTATTGGGGTCATCAAATTACGGGTTTTTCCTTACTTATGGAATGGTGACAAGAATATATTTGTGTATATGATCTTTTTTCCGAAGATAAATTTATCTTGAAGAGAAAATAATATTTGAATTTGTTCGTATAATAGTTTCACATATAATCCAATTTAGGTTTTGTATAAATATTTCTCAGGTTTGTGGATTTGTTTTGAACTTTTACTTAATTCTTCATCTATTTAATTAGAAAAAATCCTCAAAATATAATCCATCTTTATGTTTTCTTTTTACTAAACCAACGTAAGATGTGACAATGGCGTAAAGGAGAACTCTAAGGTTGTTTTTACTTGTTGGAATTGTATTGAAAGGGAAATGTTATCTGAATAGTAAATACAAGGTTGAATGTTGTTTACTTATAACATTGAATATTAAGGGTGTATAATGATATATGTGATAACTGACAAAAATACCCTCAACATTAAAATATTCAATGTAAGTTAAAAATTATGATTACATTTTTTAATAGAAAACTAATTATGTAAGTAGTAAAAACAATTAATACTATATTTAAAATTTTTTTTTTTTACTTTAACAATAGATATTCTATCCAAAAAATCAAAATTTAATGGTCGATCAATGTGGTCAATCATATTTAATGATTAGTCAAAGATAGTCAATATTGGTCAACGATCAATCAATATCAGCCAACGCCTATCAACAATATTGAACTATCGATCAACGCTGATCAATAGTGGTCAATTGTCAATTAATATTTGTTAAAACCGGTCAATTGTTTAACAAATGCCAATATTTACAAATACATATTTTAACAATAACTAAATTATAAAATAATAAGCATTGAAATAAAAATCTTTGAACTTTTTAAATTCAAAATAGGGTCAAAAAGGTAATTTTATTAAACACCCTACCCGAAGAATTAGGATTCCTTAAAAAATTTTAAGGAATCTTTTAGTGATGTGTTTGATTATCTATGACAATCCAAAAAGTAAACAAGGGAATTGAAAATCACAATTCCATTCCCTTGTTAATAAGAGTAAACATGGCCCAAATGTCTAACATTGCATTCAAAGTGAAATAAAAAAAAAAAAAAATCATAATTAATGTTGTGCATTGAATGTTATGAAAATTGTTGTGTAATACAAGTTTTTGTTGAATGCAAAAATCGTAAATTAATCAAATTGAGTTTTATATGATGTTGTGGGTCCTAGGGTTATATTGGAAAACCCTATTGTTTTAAAAAAAGCAACCACCCTTACCGCATTTTGCTGATTTTTTCCATTAAAATGAACAGATATTAAAGTATATTTGAAACATACGGGGTTTTCAAAGAAAATAACCGTTGGGCCTAACTGCCGAGCTGTGCCTACTGCTAAAATGAACCGAGTACACACTCTTCCGCAGCACGCTTTTGCATTCTCTTCTTTATAAATACACCATGCCGCTCTCTCTTTAAAACCCAACAAGAACAAGAAGTCTTATGGCTGAAGTTGGTGAAACTTCTTCCCAANTGTCTATAGAGTTTCGTATTCGATATTTGCTTGGTAAATCTATTATTTCATTAGGTTAAGCATCAGTATTACATTATTCTTTCATAGAAAATTACATTGGTAGAAGATTCTAGAAAGAATTTGCACATTCATTAGTATGGTTCATCACTCTTATTATAACTTGCTTAGTGTTGGATTATGCATAGGATTCTAAAGATTTATGTTTTCAGATTTTTCCTTTTAAATTTGTAGCCGTGTATGTGGGAACCCTCATGGGTTGAACTTTTTTTTTGTCCTAAGGAAACAAAGAAAACATATTATTCTATCAAAAGAGTAAATGAGGTTATAGATTCTGTATAAGAACCAAAAGAGGTAACACCTAAGTTAATGCGATTCTTTTGTTTGCAATTTTATTGTGTGATAGGTAGATAAAGATTAAAAATAGACAATGGCAACATCTGACACTTAGTATCTATTTAAATTAAATTACAAGTTTTAACTTATGATTTCTATTTTTTACTAATTTGCGTAGATGGTGGTGATGGTTATGATGATGATGATGATGGTGATGAATTTTGATCCTAGTGTGTGAAGTTCAATCAACATGGAGACGGATCAAAGAAAAAACACTTGCATCAAATGTTTTGTTATTAATTAGTATCTATTTTGACATTTAATATGTAAATACAACATCATGTTTGGATTTGGACTTTGAATTATTTTTAAATACTTAAATTATGTTAGGATTGTTGTTGAATTTGAACTTTGAATCATGTTGGATTGGACAGTAATTAAGTTGTTATTGTCTTATTAAAAAATAGAAATCTAAAAAAAAAATTTTTTTTTTTAAAATGTGCTGACGTCATCATGATATGTGATGACATCACCGGTCCAACCGGTTGGACCGGTTGAACCGTGACCCAGCCATCAGAGCGGGTTGCCCGCGGGTCTAGTTTTTAAAACAATGGTGTGTACTTCCCATTATTAGAGAAGTAGCATGTCAGCATAAACCTAGCCTTTTACGCCATCAAAGAAGCAACACAAGGCCATTCCAACCTCGCACACACTCCACTCTAGCAACATGGCGCACCACTTTAGTGCCCTCACACACCACTCTAGCATTAACGCGAGGACAATTCTGACTTCGAGGGGTTACGTTCGGGTCCTTCGGGAAGGAGACCCTTAAATTGTTGAGAAAGCAGTGAAATAATTGGTTAAATGTGAGGGTGAAGAGGTTTTACGATTAGAAGGGTAAATACGTCGTATTCTACATTAACCTATAATTAGTAACAATAAAACAATGGAATCTACGGCCCTATTTTCGAAAATAATGGGGTTCACTATAATAGGTGAAAGATACGGGGTTTTCCAAAAAAATAACCATTCGGCCTAACTACTGACAAGAAGAGCTGTGCCTACTGCTAAAGTGAACGAGTCCACACTCTTCCGCAGCACGCTTTTACATTCTCTTCTTTATAAATACACCATGCCGCTCTCTCTTTAAAACCCAACAAGAACAAGAAGTCTTATGGCTGAAGTTGGTGAAACTTCTTCCCAAAAACTCTCCCAAGATGTCTGGGCAAAGCTTGGTACTCCTATTTCTTTCACTTCCATTGCTAAATTTTTCATTTTCTTGAAACTAAAGTCAAAGAAGCGACAAAGTTTCAAACTTTTCTTCTTTTGCTTTTCTTTGGCGCTTTTGGCTAATGGTTTTCACTGCTACATTTCATATATTTGAAGGGTTTCGTACATTTTTTAATTTTTGTTCTGAAAAGGTTGACATTGAATCTGATAGTTTAAATTTCGTTTCCGGGGATTGCAGTACCATCTGATTCCAGATATTGTGACGTTGAAATAAGCTCAAATGAGGTGGTTATTTGTTCAGAGATTATATCTTCTTCCCTTGACAAACATGAATGGTGTAAAATAACTAGAAATTCTGATCACTCATCTGCCACATTGCAAAATAAGAGGTATTTTGCATTTCTTATTATTCACGTCTCTTCAATATTCAATCCCAAATTAAGTAATCCTAGGTGATTATGAATTGATCCAAATATGTATGTATATGTTTCCTTACTAGTATTTAACAAGATAGACATCATTCCTTAAATTTGAATTTGATGTGTTGTAGAGGAGGGGCGCCGCAAGAGACATATTGGTGGGGGTTAAATTTTATAGATAGGTCAATCACTTTGAATTTTGTTATCTTCTAGGTCACCTCCATGTACGCTATGTGGAATTTTGTTGTATTTAGGACTAAATATGGAGAAAGAAATAAGTAAATAGATTAAAAAAATGGACTTGCTTTAGCATGGAAGGTATGGTTAGTTTATCTCTTAACATGGACTTGCCTTAGTTTCGTTAGGTTTCATTTCAAATATGAAAGCCTGAAACTAAATCAGTGGTTTCATTTCAAAGTTGAAAGCCTGAAACTAAATCAGGTGACTCTATAACATGGTTATCTTCAATATAGGTTTTTTTCTTTTTTTCCAAAAAAATGTTTTGAATAATTTTATGAGCACATCTAGATTTGTTTATTTGATGAGGAAGCAAAGCTATACAAATCCAGTGAGGAAAAAAAGTTGAGGGGAAGTGGAAGTCATGTTTATAGTGAAAACCAACAAGCAAACAATGTGCTAAAAGAGTTGTTTTTAACCAAACAAATTAACTAAATAGATAACTGATGTGAAAAACATAGGAAAAACTATCTTATGTTTTTGTGATATACTGGCTCTGCATATGTGATAAACTCTCTATTTGGGCGGGGATTCTGATGTAGTTCAAATGCAATACTTGTCGATGAGGCTATTGTTCAAAATGAAGAGGTTGTTGATATCACCTGTGGAACTGAAATCATTCCTGGCCCGGATAGAGTAGGTAAGCATTAATTCTCTGTAATATCTTATATTTTATTTAAGAATTAAAATAAATATATTTTTAAATTTATGTATGCAGTCTTCGTTAAATTCTGGTTTGTTAAATCTTAAGAGTATTTTGAAGCTTCATCTTGTATGTACTTTTGTCTGTTTCTCCTTCAAATATTATAAAGATTGATTAGTAAAAGCATTTATTATGTTATGAGATTGGTCAATGGAAAACATTTACTGTACAATTATCTGTATTTTGATAAGAAAAACAGTGATGCATGTTGAGCAAAAGCACAAAGTATGAAACGAGAATCAATCATTTGAGCTTAACATAATTTTACCATAGAAAACATTACAGACATCAGGGAAATACGAAATCAGACATAAACAAAATTCTTTCTATTTAAAGAAAAAGAGGTTTGGAAATTCTTTTTAGATAATTGAAATGAAATTATTTTTTCACTCCATACAAAACATAAAGACTTTTCACTGCATATCTCTGTAAATTTTACCTCACTTTGATTTCACAAATCCTCTAAAATTCAATGGAAGCCCTAGTCTAATACTCGGTGCCTCATGCAAGTTTAGAAGCTGTTTTTGTTGGTAAAATGCTACTTACAGTAGTTTATATTTTAATAGTTCTTTATGTAGTTTGAATTTTGATCTTAAATGTCATATTATTTTTTGTTTGTCAAAGTGGCAAGATTTCTCATACTCTAGCAGTTTTATTGCAGTTCAAGTTCAGGCTACTGTTGCAAGTCTCTCTTGTTCTTATTCATTCTTTCCCCTCCTTTTTAGTTGGCGGGGAGTTAAGCACCATTGGAATTATTAGTATAAACATGTGATTTTTTTTTTTTCTTTTGTTAAGGTTCTCTGAATTACATTTTTAGTTGCTCAGGTTCAATTTGATCTAAAAGTTGGAACAAATTACTACTTTGGTTGTTAGTTTATAAATTTTCAAACTTATTGTGGATATTTATTGAAATTAAACTTTCAAGCTTTATTCCAAAGCAGATGTTAGCTTGATTTCTCTTTTTCTCAGCATTTTTCTCTTCTTCTCTTCTGCTTTTCTATATATATATATGTATATACATATATATATATATATTTTTGTTTTCACAACTTCTGGTGTTCTATATAATCTTTCATACTGTACAATTTAGTATACTAATTGTATTCTTTTGATGCCTCTAGGATATTTGAACTATAGATTTAAAGTGATGCCGAGAAAAGAATCCTGCAAGCAGCAGTTAAAGGTATATAACTATGAACACTATGTTCATTTTGAAGATGCTATTGGATGTATATTTATGCTCCTCATGTAGTTTGTCTTGTTATTTGGTTTCTCCAGATTCCCATAGATGTTGAGCATGCAAAATGCTGCATCTGCTTAAATGTTTGGCATGATGTTGTTACAGTTGCCCCTTGCTTTCATAATTTCTGGTCAGTTACTTACATATTATATTCTGCCCATAATAACTTTTTCATTCCAATTTGTTGATTCTATACCAAGTTGCCCTTATTATTTTTATTTTTAGCAATGGATGCTTCTCTGAGTGGTTAAGGAGATCACAGGATAAACGTGCAACAGTACTCTGTCCCCATTGTAGAGCAGTTGTACAATTTGTTGGGAGAAACCATTATTTGCGTAATGTTGAGCAGGTAGTACATCAAATATCTTTGTTTACCATGCATCTTATGAATCTATTGGCAAGATTTTGTGTGAGCATCTGTGCATTTTTAATTTCCCAGAGAAATTATTTGGAGTAAAGAAAAAATATGAAATTATTTGTGTGAGCATCTATGCATTTTTAATTTCCCAGAGAAATTATTTGGAGTAAAGAAAAAATATGAAATGAAAAATAGGCTTCCAGAAAAACAGAAAATACTACTGTAAGCTGGCCCAAGACATTCAATAAAAAAACAGGGAATTCTAAAAGAGCTTGACAATTACAAATAGATAAAAGAAACCCAAATGCACCGCCAAAGTCCTCCACACCTATAAAAAAGAAAAAGAAAAAAGGAATTCCCCTAAATCTAGAAGTAGCGGATACCCACAGAGAAGCCCATAATTGAAATAAAACGGAAATGCTTTCTTCTAGGTGTTCTGATGGACACCTGGTCACCAAGTGGTATAATAGAAAAGGGCAAAAAGGGAAAGGGGAGGCATGACAAGGCGGGACATATGACAAGACAGTTGGCAAGAAAGCAAATGGCACAATGAAGGCTCAACAGATGACAATTATTGTTAGAGTTTGTTAAGAGGAGGGAATCTTGAGTAAGAATAAAAGGAGCGCAGGAGCGTAGGATAGATTATGGGAAATTAGTAGGGAATTGTATAGGAGGAATTGACCCTCGAAGTTCAGTGTATTGTTTTGTCTATTTTCATTTTCTGTTTTGTTACGAATCCATTTCCTCTTAATACAATTTTATTCCAGTTTAGTATAGTGCTTGTGGTTGAATATTTGCTTTTACTTTTATTGTCNAAAAAAAAAAAAAAAAAAGGGAATTCCCCTACTAGAAGTAGCAGACACCCATAGAGAAGCCCATAATTGAAATAAATGGAAATGCTTTCTTCCAGGTGTTCTGATGGACACCTGTTCACCAAGTGGTATGGTATAACAGAAAAGGGCAAAAAGGGAAAAGGGGAGGCATGACAAGGCAGGACAGATGGCAAGGAAGCAAATGGCACAATGAAGGCTCAACAGATGGCAATTATTGTTAGAGTTTGTTAAGAGGAGGGACTCTTGAGTAAGAATAAAAGGAGAGTAGGAGCGTAGGATAGACTATGGGAAATTAGCAGGGAATTGTATAGGAGGAACTGACCTTCGAAGTTCAGTGTATTGCTGGGTCTATTTTCGTTTTCTGTTTTGTTACGAATCCATTTCCTCTTAGTACAATTTTATTCTAGTTTAGTATAGTGCTTGTGGTTGAATATTTGCTTTTACTTTTATTGTCTGTGTTTAAACGTGAGTCTGGGAGGTTGGTTTCCATCAAATTGGTATTAGAGCTCAGCGATTGCTGGACATGGTTGGTACAAGGATGGAGAGCAAGATGGACAATGTAGAGAAGGATGTTGTTAGAGTGTCGGAGAAAGTGAACTCGATGAGGGAAATCCTGATGGATATGTAGAACTGGATTCGAAAAAAAGACGAAGAGGAGGAAGAGCGAAGAAGGAACTTATTTGGGAATTCGAGCAGAGGCAGGGAAGGCCAAAACGAACAAGAACGACATGAGGAAGTTGGAGGAAACCACGGTGGTGGACGAGCTGAGCAGGAGCTTCACAGGGAAAGTGGGGGACGTAATGAACACAAGATTCATCGGGACACAGGGAACCACGGCGGAGATTGATGGTACCACAATGGGGAAGCTTGGAACCGCTGCGAATGGGGTGGCCGAAAACTGGAGCTGCCCATTATTTCCGGTGAAGACCTACATGGTTGGATCTTTTGCATGGAGCAATATTTCGCCATCAAAGAGATCGACGATGAGCTGAAGGTGTTTGCGACAGCTTTATGCATGGAAGGGGAAGCTCTCCACTGGTATCAGTGGATGAAGACGTGAATGACGTTAACTACTTGGTCGGAGTTCAAGGTTTCTCTGTTCCAGTGCTTTGGTGGAACTCAAGAGGTGAGCTCGTTGGAGTTACTGATGTCGATGAAACAGAGCAGCACTGTGATGGATTATTGTCGCCAGTTTGAAGAGGTTGCCGTGTTTACGTTGAGGGAGCGTGAGGAGGTCTTGACAGCGGTGTTCTTGAATGGATTAAGGCCTAAGATTCAGGTTGAAATAAAATTCGAACAGCCCAATTTGTTAACCTAACCCAATTCTCTCACCTAAGACACTTATTTAGCCCAAATAGTAGAAGATAGAAACTAGGCTGTTGAGGAGGCCAAGCTTGGGTTAGGCCGACAAGGGAAATGGGCCACTCCAAATATTGGGCCGCGTAATTACACAACTCTTAACTTGACCCGATGAAATTAAACCAAGCCCAAACCCAATTTAATCAACCTGCTGCACGACTCCAAACGCACCTAACACCCAACGAAACCCGATTGAAGCTCAATGCAGCCTTGGCTCATTGACCTCTGTTAATTTCCGGCCAAATTTTTTCCGACGAGACTGCCCTTGCAAGAAAATGACAGAAAGTGAGATCTAAAGAAAGAGGGAGAAAGGCCTATGTTTCCAGTGTGACGCTAAGTATTTGCTAGGCCACCAGTGTGGGGACAGAGTGTTTCAGGTGCTGTTGGTTGACGAAGACGACCCAGAGGCAAATGAAATTGCTGTTGCAAAAGGCGTTGCTGACGACGAAGCTCCAGGAGCCGTTGAACTTTCCATCAGTTATGTAGTTGGGTTAAGTGGACCAAAGACACTGAAGTTAAAAGGAAAAATAGGCGACAGAGAGGTTGTTGTGCAAATTGATAGTGGAGTCTCCCATAACTTCTGTTACAAACAGAGAACTGATTGTAATTTTCTCTTGTATTGCATTGACAAATTANCAGCGAAGATTCTTCTTCGGCCCGGCGAAGCTTGATACACTAAACTTCTTCTATTTTCAACCAATTTCAGGGCAAATATTCAACACAACACTCAACCAAACAATATTACCAAAACCAACTCAAATAAGAGCGAAAGAAGAAACAACAACTACGTACCTCAAGTGGGGCGTTACATCCAAGGTAGTGTGAAGTTCTACATTAGTGGAGAGTGGTTTCAAAAGTAAGCCCATGGAGTTTGATTCCATGATTCACCTATAAGTCATAACCTGAATACTGAGATCAAAATTTTGTTCATGAATGTTATGCATAAAACCATCCAGGTTTGTAGACTAATGGTTTGAGGTTGTATGGATGTTCTTCTTAGTAACTGATTGGATTCGCGCAAGGGAAAAACCGTAATATTTAAAACAAATCGATCAATTTCACAAACCAAGATCTAAGTACATATTATAACGTTTTCATGCATAAACTGAAACATAAAATAAAACTATATAAAACAAATTCATACAAGGATTTAGTTCATACTGACATTTGGAGGCTCCTCTGAATATCTCTAACTTAGGACATGAATACTGTTCACTAGTTACTGTTCACAGGTTACTATTCACGTGATTCTTCGCTAACTGATCCAATGTAGGATCACACTCACGGAAGTCCACACGAAGATAATCCGTAGAACCCTTGATTATTTTCCTAGAACAATCAAGGGCTTTCAGAATCAAGAAAGAAGAACAAGAAAATTTTTCTTCTTCACACAAGAGTGTAATGTAAGAGAGAGAGAGATCGGGTGGCTAGGGTTTTTTTTTATTGAATGAATATATCACCTTGTTTTAATTTTAAGTTGCACTTATATAGTGCAACAATTAAAACCCTATTCCACTTAAGAATAGCCATGGGCTCCAACCCTAGTTCACCCTTGCAACCAAACACACCCTTTATGATATTTTAATTAATTAATTATTATTATAATTAAAATCAATTAATATATAATAATATATTAACATTTAATTAATAATAATAATTCATTTAAATATATACATAGATATATTTAAATATAATCTCACTAATTTAATTTTAATATTAAAATTAAATATAGGCAACAACCTTAGCAAATTTAATTGCACTGTGAGATTACTAAAATACCATTTCGTCCTAAAAGATGAAAATACCCTTCTCACAAATTGATTCTTAAACTATCTTCTAATTGTGTGACTCGTAGGCTCCTCATCATATCAGCAATGTGTAATATTGCGATTAACACCAATTAATAGTCTCACTACATACAAACCAAGATTGGCCCCTAGCAAGGCATCATGGCCATCCGATAGATTCAGATTCAGCGAAACTGCAGCCTATCAATGGTATGGTTACCGTGCAATTCAATCATTTCATCATCCGTTATCTCATTGAGACCGAGGTTAAGAAATAGTGCCAACCTCAGATATCCTCGACATGTTTGTATTCAGTTAATGGACCAATGACCGGAATAATGAATTGGATTGAGCATTAACTCAATCCCACTATTACCAAGATTTAGTGTCATTGCCATTTACTGAATTACACAGCGAGATAACTTCTCCCGTACTCAGGAGTAATGAATCCTTTATCGATCCACCATAGTCTTGATACACTTCTCAATGTAGCCAATCACTACCATATTGATAACTCTGAATAGAACTACGTTAGGCTAGTGTCAAACTACACCAATTGGTGCACAAGGCGCTCCAGTGATCTCAAGTCTAAGGATCACATGCACCACTATCCGTTAGAGGATTTATTCCATAGACACTGGAGTTACCATCCATATGGAATCCTCTGTGGGTCTGTCTAGTGAACTTGCCTCTAGCAAGCACTTATGCGTTGCACCAGGTTGTCGGCAAACAACCTTGACAAGTGAGATCAGTCACTGCCTTTCGACAGGGTCATTCAACACTATGATAGTCTTACCGTATAATCTGTGTCTTTGGTTAGAATAATACTGGGGCTACGAACGTTTCTAGAATGGCCACCATATGTGATCATAGGGTTCTCACTATCAAGATTTGAAAAACTTGATACCCTCGTCACGGTTTTACCATCCTAAGGACATATATCATTACATATAACTATGATTTACACGATATATAAGAATGTGCCTTTTATTGATAAATAAACATTTATTAC